TTCAGAGACAAGGCAGACATTCTGCAGTTCATCAGCTTCCTGCCTTACCGTCAAGGTGGTACAAACACTGGAGCTGCCCTACACTTCGCCCTGAAAAACATCTTCACTGAAAAAAAGGGCAGCAGGGAGGATGTCCCGAAGGTAGCGGTGGTAATCACAGACGGTGAATCCCAGGATAATGTGAAGGAACCTGCGATCGCTCTCCGTCGAGCTGGTGTCACAGTTTTTGCTGTCGGAATCAAAGACGCCAATAAAGCCGAACTGCTGAAGATGGCATCTTACCCCAAGTTCGTTTTTACTGTGGACAGTTTCATCAAGCTGAAACCCCTGAAAGAAACTCTGCAGGCAACCCTGTGCAACACCATCATCCAGATCGGGGTCCAGGACAAGGAAAGTGATGCAGAGACTAAAGAAGGTTTGAACTAAGCTTTCCTGATAAGTTGCCGTTAGTTTTCCCTGAGAAATGTTAACTTTTATAGTAGCATTATTGATGCAATGCTCTGTGTTAGTGTTAGAGGAATGTCAAGGTGGGTGATTTCCCAGATAAGAAAAAAGAGTAAGAAACCGCTCATCCATTATTAAGTTATAGTTGTTCATAAGCAGCCTGTAAAACATGCTGGGTGTAAATATGGTTTCTCAAACATTTCAGACTCTGAATGCTCAGTTCAAACTTGCTTTCTTTGACAATGTGAGAAGATCTAACTCCCATTGTTTGTTTTTCTCTTCAGCATGTGATCAAAAGGACCAAGCTGACATTTTCTTCCTGATGGACGACTCAGGAAGCATTAAAAATGCAGATTTCTCAGACATGCAGAAGTTTATCATTGAGTTTCTTCATACCTTCCGTATTGGGCCAGACCATGTTCGCATGGGTCTTGTGAAATATTCAGATTCCCCCTCTCTAGAGTTTGACCTAACACAGCACTCAGATGCTAAGACAATGGAAAAGGCTGTGAAGGAAATCTTTCACAAAGGAGGTGGAACTAACACACGAAAAGCACTGTCATCCATGAAAGGACATTTTCAGAACGCAAAGACGAGCCGTGGTTACAAAGTCTCCGAGTACCTGATCGTCATCACCGATGGAGAATCCCAAGATGAAGTTAAAGATGCTGCAGAAGAACTGAGGGCGCAGGATGTCATCATCTACGCCATCGGGGTGAAATCCTCAAATGATAATGAGCTGAATGAGATTGCTGGGGATCCAAAGAGAAAGTTTTTTGTCAGTAATTTTGATGCCCTGAAAACCATCAAAAATGACGTCATCAGAGAGATCTGTTCGGAAAGTGAGTTAAATTAAGTTGGGCTTTGCTTTGTGGCACACATCATTGAGATAATAAGAGGAGAGGATAGAGAACAGGACCATAAACTATTTCAAAAACTTGATTAGATGTAAACATGATTTCCACTTTCTTTTATGGGACTTTCACATGTTCAAAATTGCCAATTCTAGATTTAGGTAGGGAAATAACTGTAAAAAGAGAAAACCACACTAACCTCTATTTGTTTTTCATCCACAGCTTGTAAAGACATACCAAGCGACATATTTTTCTTAACTGACAGCTCTGAGAGTATCTCTGAGGAAGACTTCCAAAAGATGAAAAATTTCACGAAATCTGTCATTAGCAAGTCCAGCATTGGGCTGGATAAGGTGCATGTTGGTTTTATGCAGTACAGCACCAACAGACGCCTGGAGTTCGACCTCACCAAACACTACAACCTGGAAGGAATGCTAAACACCATCGATGTTATGGAGCAGATGAACGAAGGCACTCGCACTGGCAGGGCCATCACAGAGGTCTCACAGTATTTTGATGCAGCCAGAGGAGGGCGGCCTTGGATGAAGCAGTGGTTGGTCGTTATAACAGATGGTAAATCCCAAGATAGCGTCAAAGAACCAGCTCATGCTCTGAGGGCCAAAGGAGTGGTGATCCATGCCATTGGAGTGGATAAGGCTAACAGGAAGGAACTGTCGGAGATCAGTGGCTCATCGCAGAGGGTCTTCATTGAGAATACCTTTGATGCATTGAAGGAACTAGAGACCAAGCTGGCCTTGAAGTTCTGTGAGAAAGGTAAGAGAGGCTGTTTCAAACCATCTGTGATGTGTGACTGTCTAAAAGGTACAACCAAAGGTGGAGTCTGTGGAGGTGTTAAATCATTCAGTCAATTAACTCAAAAAGTTTTTAATATATTAAACCCATCAATACCTCAGCACGAATCGTTAATGATTGATTTAGTAAAATAAAAATGACTTTTAAAATGTTTGTTTTGCTATTTTAGTTTTTATTGTGACAACAAAAAGTTCTGTCTTTGCTAACCTCCTCTCTGCCTCTTTTTCCTTCATCCAGATTGTAAAAAGACAGTAGAGGCTGATATTATTTTTCTGGTTGATGGTTCTGAAAGCATAAACAAGGAACAGTTCAAAAGTATGCAAACCTTTATGGCTTCAGTTGTGAACCAGACCACCATTGGTAAAGATCTGACTCGTTTTGGAGTCATTCTCTACTCTGACACACCCAAATCCAGCTTTACTCTAAATGAAATTCACGCCAAAGGAAAAGTCCTTGAAGCAGTGCAGCAGCTGGTACAACCACGCGGAGGCACCTACACAGGTGCTGCTTTGGCATACTCGCTGCAGTACTTCAACGCTGAACATGGTGGTCGGAGAGAAATCAGGGTGCCTCAGATTCTCATGGTGATCACAGATGGAGAAGCTACTGACTCTGAGAGATTGAAAGCAGAATCTGATGCTCTGCGACAAAATGAGGTCACAGTCATCAGTATCGGAGTGCAGGACGCAAAGAGGGACGAGCTGGAGACCATGGCTGGTGACGACACATCCAAAGTTTTCTTTGTCGAAAATTTTAAGGATTTGGAAACTCTG